TTGCACTATAGTATGTATAGCTTCTCCACTACCACTAGTTTATCATATTCCCAATTGGGTGCCAATGTTGTTTTTACGCAGATTTTACTGATGTAGCTCTAGAATGGGCAGAGACGAATGTCAAAAGTAATCCCCATATTTCAGACCTAATCGAGATCAGAGACTCTAAAATTCTTCCACAGTGTTCCTCTGAGTCCCATGTCCCCGAGGTTGAATGTAGAGAGAGTGAGAAGAACTGTAGTCGAACCATGCCCGAGGAAGCCGGATTCACTCCCACGGCTCACTCTGATCATCATGAAGATGACAACAAGAGCTATACAGGGCCAGCTGTACTACTCGGTGTTGTCAAGGAAAACGAAACTTTCGACTTCTGTATGTCCAATCCTCCATTTTTTGAAACCTGGGGGGAAGCAGGCCTTAACCCTAAAACGTCATGCGGTGGAACTCCTGAGGAGATGGTTTGCAATGGTGGGGAGCAAGCTTTTGTGACCCGTATTATTGAAGATAGCGCTGTACTGAGGCAAAGATTCCGGTAGGTAACTTTACCCAACTAAACTGTTGGATCTTTCACATTCTTGGGTTTTCATCCACCAGAACTTATCTTTTGCGATCACGTTTTGTATTAGGTGGTACACTTCAATGCTTGGAAAGAAGGCTAACCTGAAATACTTGACATCTAAGCTTTGGGAAGTAGGGGTTACAATTGTAAAGACCACTGAATTTGTACAAGGCCAAACATCCCGTTGGGGCCTCGCTTGGTCCTTCATGCCCACAGTCAGGAAGATTATAGCACTACCTGTTGCCAAAAAGAGTGTCCTTTCTTTTATGCTTGAGGTAATCTATCTTTAACTTTTGTCTTCCTTTACATGCTCCAGTAACATATATTTGCTATATATATATAAAATGTCTCCGGCTTTAGTTGAGCCTTACATCCTTCATGGTGGTTTTTTAGGGCATTAAACGGCAGTATATTGCCGTAGATGTGCTGCAATCAGTTGAGGAATTCTTCAAGAGCTGTGGTGCCTCAAGTAAATTAAACTCTTCTACGTTTTCTGTTGACGTAAGTGTACTACCTGATTTTTTTTTGTCTTGCCATCCAATCTTGTTTCTCCAGTATCTCGAGCTCAAAAGAGTTTCCTTCTATTATTATACAGATTGTTGCATCCAGTGATCAGTGCAACACAATCTCGAAGAATGGCACTAGAGATGTGGATTGTGTATATGAAAAACAGACACTGGATGGCTCCAGTTTGCAAGTTCCTCAAGACAACTTATCTTTCCGCATCTTGGTTTGTTTGGATTTGATTTAGTATACCCCTAACGATTCCCTTGGGTTTTTCAATTGTTGTATGATGGAGAATTTTCTGGTACAGGTGTTCCAGCAGATTCCAGGATCCTTGCTTATAAAAGGATCATTGCAGCACAAAGATAGCCCCCTCTCAGGTTAATCAGTTTTTGCTTGGTTTCCCGAAATTGCTAGTGAAATGTTCCGTACTTTATACATGAATCTGCAAAGCTTTGGTTCTATTACTGGTTCACCAAAATCGTTAAGTACCATAACTTTTGCTGCAAATTACCGATATGAAGAGAACTGAACTGTCCATTTAATTTTCATCTGCAGGATTGTTTTCAGTGGTTTTCAGTTCGTTGGAAGAAAATATGAAGTCCAAATTTTGTCGGTAACCCAGCCTCAGAGGTACTGCTGCGACTTGAAGAATGGCATCTGGCAAAAAATATATGAAGAAAAGGCTTCAAATCTCAGACCCATGTAACATGTTCATGCACACAGAACGCAAGCCGTGTTTTGATTATGACGTAAACTAATATAAGTCCTCCCTTCAGCTCTTGCATACGTGAGAACTTAGAGCCAAACGGAGGCAAGCAGAAATTTAGTAGCGAATTTTCTTGGGGATGAAAAGTGTTGCATTGCAGACCGCTCGTGTTTGTCAACTGCATATTAACTAAAACTAAGACTTTAAAAGGCTTACCTTGCGGGGAGAGATACTTAGAGCTAAGTGGGAAGAGAGAGAGAGGGTTCTTGACTTCACGGGATAAAGCAAGCTCTTCTTGCTTTTCTCTCCAGTTTCTCTTTTTTGATCAACCATAGCTTGTGATGACATTGTAAGACCTTTATTAAATTATATAATATTTTTCATTGCATGTGGGTGTAGTTATTTTCAGTTGTCACTTTCTCTCTTTGCAGTGGCCTTCCCTATATAACTACTTGGTGATCCCTCAACAGTTTGATTCATCCGGAGAAATATGAATCCTTGTGAAGAAGAATACTTTCTCGATCACCAGTCTATCCACTCAAAAACACCCTTACAACCTTCAGAATTCTTGCTGTCTGATGATTTGCGCAACTTCCGTCTTCTCCTCAAGTGGTGCGCTCTGGATCACTCCTCGTCTTCTGGTAAAGCTGTGTCCTATTTGGTGTTTGTAGTCTTTACCTTAATAATCCCCCTCATAAGTTGCCTGTCCATCAAAAGTCCTAAAACCCCACCTTCACCAGTTATGGACACCAACTCATTCAATGTCTTTGTGCAATTCCCAGAGTCTGGACTGGCCGTCATCGGTTTCTTGACTTTACTATGTTTCTTTAGGATATTTAGTCTCAGACAGCTTCTATTTCTTGATGATTCTACCTTGGTGAAGCTTGGTTATTCATGTGAACTTGACAAGGCTTTCCGTTACCTGGCCTCCATACTTTTACCTTCTTTCCTTGTGGAACTTGTGCATAAGAGCATATTTTTCTCCTCAGCCGAAGTATCATTTCCTTTCATGAAGTCATCTTTTGCTGCATTGAAGTTTGTGATGTTCTTGCTCGTTTTACTTGCATGGGCTTACCGGACAGGAGTATTCTTGCTCGTGTGTGTCCTGTTCCGGTTGACCTGTGAGCTGCTGATTCTGAGGTTCGGAGGGCTGCACAAGATGTTCGATAGATGTGAATCAGACACCATAGAAGATGTATGTAAGGAGCACGTGAGGATCAAGAAACAGTTGTCGGCTACAAGTCACAGGTACAGGTTCTTCATCATCGCGTCCTTTGTTGTGATAAGTTCCAGTCAGTTTGTGGCCTTACTGATGGTTTTTGCCTCAAAGTCTGACAAGAGTTTCCTCAACTCTGGTGATTTGGTGGTAATACTCTACATTTTTGTTCTGATAATTCTTTCAAGTTTCAGTGCTCTGTTTTAATGCAGCATATGTGTTCTTCTATCTCAAGGTATGCTCTGCAGTTCAGCTCTGTGGATTCTTCTTGTGCTTGTTGGGTGCTGCAAGAATCACACACAGAGCTCAAGGAGTAGTGTGTATTGCAACGAGGTGGCACATGACTTTGACATGCGCTTCTGAAGCCACCTTACCCGAGAGTAACACTGACTCATCCGACAACACATACATCAATGTCTCGCCGTCACTGGACTTATCTTCCTTATTCCAGGCTAGGCAAGCTCTAGGTGCGTTATATTCAGATTACAAGCTCTTAATTTTTTCGAAATAAAGTTGCGAAATTGATGAATAGTTCATTGCAGTGGAATACCTGCGACATAACAACAAGGGGATTACGCTGTATGGATATGCACTCGATAGAGGATTGCTCCATACACTCTTTGCATTTGAGTTCTCTCTGGTGATGTGGATTCTGAGCAAGGTTGTGGTTCTATCTTAGAACTAACAATGCTATGTATGAGCGAACACAAAAGACGCGGAAAGCTTCAAACAGCAGTAACTTCGAATTGTGCCTATTAGAGCTTCTCTTTGATGCACAAAACTTAGTCACCTGTTTAACAGACAGAACCGGGTTATTGTTGTCCTGTGTCATTGTTGGGGGTTGTCTTTTCTGGGTTACCCAATCTTGATGGAGATGTCAAAAATATTGGTTGCTCCATCGTTTTTGTAATAACTCTGCCAAATATGAATCAAACCAGAAAAGTCCATCTTTTGTCCGAGTTAAACACAAGAAAATATGCCTACAGGAACGAAAATCTATCTGATTTTGCTTCTTTATTAAACAATAAATCTGGAGTAAGAAAGAAAAAATTCGAACACTGGTTGTTAGCTTTGCTAGACTGACAAAACTCCTGAAGCTAAAAACGAAATCATCACGACACGTATAAAATACCTGCTTTTGCAGGCTTTAACAGTACAATCCTGAGGAAGTAAAATTGCAGGAATCTTTTAAGTTGTTTGATGATGCATCTTCATGTCTGATTTCCGGCTTGATCATGTGCTTGAAGCTTCTTCTTCCATAAGTGCAGCCAGATTATGCAGAACGGAGTATATCTCTTCTTTACGAGGATGCGACCTATCTGAGACTGTGAAAGATCCAACTTTGCTCTCGATTTCAATCCAACTAAGAGCTTTTTCTTTATTCACACTTCTCTTCTTCATAATTCCTCTCAGCTTCTCTACTGAATCCCACTTCCCGTGATCTGCGTAAATGCTCGATAGCAATATGTATGGTGCAGAAAACTCAGGGTCCAGTTTGATCAGCTCTTCCGCTGCTTTCTTTCCCAGTTCTACATTTCCATGGATTCTGGATACTCCTAGGATTGCATTCCAGATATGTTTGTCGGGTTTAAAAGGCATTTTCTCGATCTTAGTCATCAGTTCTTTGAAACAACCGGCACGCCCTAGGAGATCTATCAGACATGCGTAATGCTCTTGGTCTGGAACAATCCCGTGCTGGATAGTCATTGACTCAAACCACCTGATACCTTCCTCTACCAGACCTGAATGACTGCATGCGTTGAGAATTACAACCAGAGTTGTCCGGTTTGGATGTACTCTGATTTTGATCATGTCATCAAGCATAAGCAAGGCCTTGCGGCCAAGCCCGTGCTGTGCCAACGCAGAAATCATCGTGTTCCACAAAACACAATCTTGCTTGTCATCGTAAAGATTGAACACCCGCTCGCTGGCTTCTAAACTCCCTGATTTTGAGTACATATCGATCAAAGAGCTGATCACAATCGCATTGGGTCTAACATTGGTACGTACCATGTACCCATGAATTTGCTTCCCGTGTCTAAGAGATGCAGTGCTCGCAGAGGCACAGAGGCAGCTGCTGAAAGTAAACTGCTCAGGTTTAACTCTCAAAACAACCATTTTTCTGAACAAGTCAAGAGCTTGGTCCCCTGAACCTTGTCTAACATATCCGGCAATTAATGCGGTCCAAGAGACTGGATTTTTCTCTGGCATCTCACAGAATAACTTGTTAGCCACTTCCATATCCCCAAGTTTGGCATATCCAGAGATCAGAGCAGTCCAAATATGAATATCCTTCATTTTCATCTCATCAAAACATCTTTTAGCACTTTCCATCTGACCACATTTTGCATAAGCATCAATGATAGAACAAGAAAGCACAACATTTGACAGAAACCCAGCAACCAGAACCTGCCCGTGAGCTTGCCGATTGAGCTGGAGCTCCCTCGATTTCACACATGCCGTCAAAATCCCTGCGAAGCTGAACTCGTTGTACTTGATTCCAGATCTCCTCAACTCTCTATAAAACCAAAGGGCTTCGTGTAGATTCCCATTCTGAGCGTAACCAATCACCATCGTGTTCCAAGACACAACATCCCTCTCGGGCATACTATCGAACATGACTCGTGCACGAACCAACATCCCTGATTTGACATACCCAGAGATCATATTGTTCCACGAATACAAATTCCTGAAATGCATTGTATCAAACACTTTACACGCATCGATAGGTTTACCGCATTTCATGTACATTCCGATTAAATGATTCGACAAAAGCGTGTTGGGTCTCTTGAATCCAGTAATCTTCAAGTGACGATGAATCCATTTGCCTTGTTTCAAAGACCTCGTATCTCCACAGTGCTGAAGCAGCGACGCAAGAACTTCAAAGGGTAATCGAATCCCTTGCTCTGTTAAGGACTCGAGACGAGACACCGCCTGAGCGAGCTCTGCTTTGGTTGCGTATCTGCTTAGAAACGATCGAGCGACACAGATTGGCCGTTTCCTAGGGTTACTGATGGGCATTGGAGGGAGAAACCACCATGGGAGGAGATTTCACTCCTTGTATCTCCACCCTCTTGCGGTTAAATCCTGATACCGGCGGGAAGAAGTCTGAATGGTTTAACGCCGGCAAGATTCGCCGGTACGAAATCATGAGACTTTGTTTCGCCGTCGGATCTTGGGAACCGGATCTGGTTTTGGTTTGGATCAATCCAACAAAGACAATCCTTTTTCACTTTTGGGCTTAGATTTTTAGCCCATGGGCCTCCTTTTCCTATCATAATCGTAATCTCCGATTTGACTTTTTATAGGCGGAATTGAATAACAATGGTATAAACTAGTATAAAATATCACTCTCATAAGCCTTTTTGCATAAAAGATCTGCCGCTTGGTTTCGTTCTCGGCTTACATTATCAAGCAAGCATAATAGAAGCTTATCAATCCACCATCGTATGCCCCATAGTATATTACCCAATTATGTGCTTTGTCCACATTTGTTGATCAATCGAGTTAACTCTAAACTTCAAACCAAACATGTCTCCAACCCTTTGTCTATATCGTTTGTAGAGCTTGAAGAACTCCCAAAGCTTCTGCTTATAAGGCAGTTTGCGTTTGTTTCAGTTTTACCGTTCCCAACATGATGTGTTTGCAATGATGATCTCTAACGATCCAGCCTATTCCCGTTGTATCAAATCCTTCTTTATAGCTTCCGTCGAAGTTGCATCCATCCATTTGGTGGTGGTTCCTATTGGCTACTCTTCTCGCAAGTATTTCTTAGATTGGTGTCAACAGTTGCTCGAACCATTTGAGATTCAAACGACTACATCGCTGCTTAGTGAGTTCAATATG